GGGAGGGGGTGGGGTGGGCTGGGGCGGGCTGGGTCTTTATCCTAGCTCCTGGTTCCCTCCCTTGCCCCCTCCAAGCTGGACCTGGGACTGCCCCCCCGAAGGGACCCTCAGTTGGGCCTGGGCCTTGTGAATTCTCTGCTCACCCTCTCTCCTCCGCCAGCACTAACCCTTTCTTCCCAGGTGGTCTGCGGAGCCTCCCTCGGAGCCAGGACTTCGTGGAGCCCCCACCCCTGTCTCTCTTCCCTTCATGCAGCTATCCTCTGTCCTCCCCACCCTCCCGGGAGTCCCGTCACTCTCTATGTCCCCGTCCATCCACCCCTGTGCACCAGTGTCTGCTGCTCAGCCCAACCCCGAGACCCTGCTGGCTGGTGGGGCCAGGCACCTTCCACCTGGGCTAACCTGGGGGCTCCCCAAGCTCCTCAGCTACTGACTTGCAGGGGACCAGTGGGTGGGGGCCTTGGGAGAGAGCTGACACCCCTCTACCTCCCCCACATTGGAGTTGGGGTCTCCTGATACCCACAATGGGTTCAGAATCACCACTGTACCTTGCAGTTTTTGCAGGAGAAAGGAAGTGAAGTATTTTTCTTTTTTAATAAAGTCTGTCCTGGGGTGGTTGTTTACGGATAGGACACTGGACCCTAGTGCTTCCTTAGAGGCATAGAAGGGTGCTGGTCAGTCGGGGTGCCAGCTGTGGGGACAGTTCCTGGCTCCCCCACAATCACTCCAGCACCAGCTCTGGGAGGGCGCTCACCAGCCCTCATCCCCAGCCCATGGGGTCTCGAGCAGGAAGGGAACAAGGTGCCACCTCCCACACTAACCCTGCTCTTGATGGCCTGCAGGGTCCTCAGCTCCAGGGAGAGGGGCAGCTGGGCGGGCGGGGTCCCAGCCTGGAAACCCCCTCCCATCACCAGCCCTACCAAGCAACCGTGACTGCAGCAGCAGGGGGAACGGCCTGGTCCCTGGCAAATGACCAACTCGCCTCTCTCCTCTCTCCCTCTGCCTCCCTCCACACCTGGTCCAGTCTTTGTGTGCCCAGGGACGCTGCAGAAGGTGCTGGAGCCCACCTCAACGCATGAGTCGGAGCACCAGTCAGGTGCGTGGTGCAAGGACCCTCTGCAGGCGGGTGACCGCATCTACGTCATGCCCTGGATCCCCTACCGCACGGACACGCTCACCGAGTACGCCTCGTGGGAGGACTACGTGGCTGCGCGCCACACTACCACCTACCGGCTGCCCAACCGTGTGGACGGCACGGGCTTTGTGGTCTATGACGGCGCTGTCTTCTACAACAAGGAGCGAACGCGCAACATCGTCAAGTATGATCTGCGGACGCGCATCAAGAGCGGGGAGACGGTCATCAACACGGCCAACTACCATGACACGTCACCCTACCGCTGGGGCGGCAAGACTGACATCGACCTGGCTGTGGATGAGAACGGGCTGTGGGTCATCTATGCCACCGAGGGCAACAACGGGCGGCTGGTAGTGAGCCAGCTCAACCCCTACACTCTGCGCTTCGAGGGCACGTGGGAGACCGGCTATGATAAGCGCTCAGCCTCCAATGCCTTCATGGTGTGTGGTGTGCTCTATGTGCTGCGCTCCGTGTATGTGGATGACGACAGCGAGGCCGCTGGCAACCGTGTGGACTACGCCTTCAACACCAACGCCAACCGCGAGGAGCCTGTCAGCCTGGCCTTTCCCAACCCCTACCAGTTTGTCTCCTCTGTGGACTATAACCCGCGTGACAACCAGCTGTATGTCTGGAACAACTACTTTGTGGTGCGCTACAGCCTGGAATTCGGGCCACCAGACCCCAGCGCTGGTGAGGACAGCCCGCTCCGGGCCGCTAGCCCTATCCAGCTATGTTCCCATCCCACCCCCAGGCCTCTGCTCCCAGGGTCGGGGAGCCCACTCTGAGTCTTGGGGATCGGTAGACAGGTTCAGGAGGTGAAAGGTCACAGCATGGCAGAGATGCAGTCTACATACTTCACCGTTGTTAACTCAGTCTATGAGGTGACAGGGTTTGCGACTGCCCTGATTTACAGATGCAGAAACACAGGCTCTGGAAGGACAGGGGTGCAGTTTATGTGAAGACTGGGAATCCAGGACTCTGGGTGCCTAGCTACTGGCCTGTGCTGCCTCTGCTAGGGGCCCAGGCACACCTGGTCCTGGATGAGGTGGAACCCTGGGACGCCCACTGTCGGCAAAGTGGGCCACAGCCGAGCTGCTGGGCTCAGCAGGGGAAAGGTCCTGCTGTTGTGTCCCTTCCACCTCCAGCTGCCCCGTACCAACCCTGAGCAGCCCCAGGGAGCCTTAGTTAACCCAACCTCCTCTGCAGAAGGGAACCTGAGGGCCCAGAGGTAAGGTGACCAGGTCATAGACCCAAGTCCACAGGAGCGTGGTGAGCATGAGCAGTGGCTGTGCCCAGGCCTTACCTCTCGGGGCTGCTTCTCTGGTGCATTTCTCTAGCCAGCTGATACCTTATGTGGTCACCTGAGCACAGGGCATCTGCTGGGGCACAGAGAGGCTGGGGACATCAGCTTCCAGTCCCAGTGGGCCCAGGGCACCTCTGTTCAGTAAGGGGAAGAGCAAAGACTGCCAGGGACCCTGTGCTGGGCATAAGCCTGTCTACCCCCTCTCCCCTCCAGGCCCAGCGACATCCCCACCCCTCAGCACGACCACCACCGCCCGGCCCACACCCCTCACCAGCACAGCCTCACCTGCAGCTACCACCCCACTCCGCCGAGCGCCCCTCACCACACACCCGGTGGGCGCCATCAACCAGCTGGGACCTGACCTGCCTGCAGCCACAGCCCCTGCCCCAAGCACTCGGCGGCCCCCAGCCCCCAACCTGCACGTGTCCCCTGAGCTCTTCTGTGAACCCCGAGAGGTGCGGCGAGTCCAGTGGCCGGCAACCCAACAGGGCATGCTGGTGGAGAGGCCTTGCCCCAAGGGCACCCGAGGTGAGCAGTGGCTGCGGCTATGACCGCCAAAGCTGGGTGTGTGGCAGGGGTGCACACACCAGCAACCCCACGTAGGCACAGTTGCCCCTGCGTGGCAGGGTCCAGGGCAGCCCCGGCATCAGACCGTGGGAGCCGTGGAAGTGGGCTGGCACCTAGCCTGGCTGAGGTGGAGCAGCCAGCTGCAGGATGGGCTTGCCAGAGAGGGGGCTTCAGCATGGGCCCCAAGGGAAGGCTCTGCCTCTGGAGGGCAGGGACAGGAAAAGGGCGGTCAAGAGAGGGGTGAGTGCTGCCTCACCACTTCACATTTCCCTCCCTGTCCCCTCACCCTGGTCTACACCCACTCTCACACCTGCCTCTCACCCATCCTCTGCTCCTTCCCCTGGCACCCTTGTCCCTGGCTATCTCTACAGGAATTGCCTCATTCCAGTGTCTGCCAGCCCTGGGGCTCTGGAACCCCCGGGGCCCTGATCTCAGCAACTGCACCTCCCCCTGGGTCAACCAGGTGGCCCAAAAGGTACAGTGTGGGTCTCTTGCAGGCAGGCATGTACTTGGCCAGAGGGTCTGAAGGCAGCCCATGGGGTCCGCACCAGCCCTGAGGTGAAGGGAGGGACAGGATATATACGGAGTAAGGGCGGGGAGGGCAGGCTGGTCCCCAACAGCACTGAGGTACCCTGTCCTGGCTTCTCCAGATCAAAAGTGGAGAGAATGCGGCCAACATCGCCAGCGAACTGGCCCGCCACACTCGGGGCTCCATCTATGCAGGGGACGTGTCCTCGTCGGTGAAGCTCATGGAGCAGCTCCTAGACATCCTGGATGCCCAGCTGCAGGCCTTGCGGCCCATTGAGCGGGAGTCAGCCGGGAAGAACTACAACAAGGTGGGCCCACAGAAGGGCAGATGGACAAAAAAGGGGGCTTAACCAACAGAATGGAAGCTCCGAGGAAGGACCCAAGCCTTCCCGGATGGTCCTGGGGCACAGGGCCCAGCCCTGGGTGGGTGGCAGACACAGAGAGCGAGCTCTCTGGTCCCTGACATGAGCATGCTGGGATTAGGGAAGCAGCACCTTGGGCACAGCCTGATGCCACCCGTGTCTTCCCCAGATGCACAAACGAGAGCGAACCTGCAAGGATTACATCAAGGTGAGGCCTTGGCTAACGGGGAGATAGGTAGAAAAGGAGACAGGTACAGGGAAAGGAAAGGAATGAGAGCACATGGGGGACTCAGCACTGACCCCTGTCTGAGCAGGCTGTGGTGGAGACGGTGGACAACCTCCTCCGGCCAGAGGCACTCGAGTCGTGGAAGGACATGAATGCCACGGAGCAGGTGCACACAGCCACCATGCTCCTAGATGTGCTAGAGGAGGGCGCCTTCCTGCTGGCCGACAACGTCAGGGAGCCTGCCCGCTTCCTGGCCGCCAAGCAGAATGTGGGTGAGTGCTGCAGCACTGGGTCAGGCTGGGTGCAAGTCCTGAGTCTCAGACACCATGGGGGAGGCTGGCCCCTCACTGGGGACAGACCCTAAAAGCACGTGTCCTGCCATGCCCTGTGCCTACAGTCCTGGAGGTCACTGTCCTGAACACGGAGGGCCAGGTGCAGGAACTGGTCTTCCCCCAGGAGTATCCCAGTGAGAACTCCATCCAGCTGTCTGCCAACACCATCAAGCAGAACAGCCGCAATGGTGAGCGCCTGGCCAGGCCTTGGGTGGGGACAGAGTGGGCCACCCCTACCCAGCCCTCAGCTGCTATCTCTGCTCTTCGTGGCGGGCAAGCAAGGGTTCTGCCCTTGTGGCAAGTTTTATATGTTCTCATTGGGTGCCGTAGGTCTACAGAGATGTCTCCTGGGCAGTAGCTTAGCTGGACCATAGCTCAGAGAAGGCTGGGACAAGAGAGGTCAGGGATCTGCCCAGGTCACCCAGGGAAAAAGAATGGGTCAGAGCCATCCTGTGCCCTAGCCTCTGGGCTGCTGTCCAAACCTGAATGGAGGCTGCCAGTCAAGGGCAGCTGCTACATCCCCAGCTATCCTCCCCAGGGGTGGTCAAAGTTGTCTTCATCCTCTACAACAACTTGGGCCTTTTCCTGTCCACGGAGAATGCCACAGTGAAGCTGGCGGGTGAGGCAGGCACGGGGGGTACCGGGGGTGCCTCCCTGGTGGTGAACTCGCAGGTCATCGCAGCATCCATTAACAAGGAGTCCAGTCGCGTCTTCCTCATGGATCCTGTCATCTTCACCGTGGCCCATCTGGAGGTGAGCCCACAGCCAGCACTCTTGGACTGTATATCCCCTTCCCCAGTAGCAAGTTACAGCCCCTCCCTCGGGCTCACACCATTTGTCCCCAGAGATCTGGCTGTCCGTCACCTTGGCTGCTATCCCTAGAGCTGGGTGTGGGGTCCAGAATGTGGCTCCTGGCTCTGACCCCTGACCATTGCTGCACAACAGGCCAAGAACCACTTCAACGCCAACTGCTCCTTCTGGAACTACTCAGAGCGCTCCATGTTGGGCTACTGGTCGACCCAGGGCTGCCGCCTGGTGGAGTCCAACAAGACCCACACCACCTGTGCCTGCAGCCACCTCACCAACTTCGCCGTGCTCATGGCTCACCGAGAGATCGTAAGCTACGGTGCACTGCTCCTCTGGGGCCCGTTTGCTGCTGGCCCAGCTTTGCATGGCACCCTAGGACGTGCACGATGTGGGCGGTGCCAGGGAGGCCAGCCTCAGGGTAGGGGCCACCATCTTATCTTGTCTTGCCTGAGGCGGAGGCCATGTCTCTGGTTCCCTCTGGTCACATCCACCTTCTCCCGAGGCACTCTGGAGAAGCATGTTGCTGTCACCTTTGTCATCTCTCCACAAGCCTTCCAGAGCATGAGGAAGTGAGCGGCTGCCTACAGCGGGGTGGGGCTGGCAAGCAGGCCAGGTGGGCAGCCTCGGAGGGCCTTGCCTGCAGCTTGTGCCTGGCTGGGCATTGCACACACCTGGTTGTGTGCAGCTGGAGGCCCTGAGCCTGCCCTGCTCCTGTCCCCCAGTACCAGGGCCGCATCAACGAGCTGCTGCTGTCAGTCATCACCTGGGTGGGCATTGTCATCTCCTTGGTCTGCCTGGCTATCTGCATCTCCACCTTCTGCTTCCTGCGGGGGCTGCAGACCGACCGCAACACCATCCACAAGAACCTGTGCATCAACCTCTTCCTGGCTGAGCTGCTCTTCCTGGTCGGGATAGACAAGACTCAGTATGAGGTGGGCTGGGGCCACACTGGGGCCTGGGCCATGGTGGGGTGGGGCGCCAGTGGCTCGGCCTCCCTCACCAGCACCTGGGCCTCCCTGCAGATCGCCTGCCCCATCTTTGCTGGCCTGCTGCACTACTTCTTCCTGGCTGCCTTCTCCTGGCTGTGCCTGGAGGGCGTGCACCTCTACCTGCTGCTGGTGGAAGTGTTTGAGAGCGAGTACTCCCGCACCAAGTACTACTACCTGGGTGGCTACTGCTTCCCTGCCCTGGTGGTGGGCATTGCGGCAGCCATTGACTACCGCAGCTATGGCACCGAGAAGGCGTGAGTATATCCCCCATTGCTGCTGCTGGCTCTCTGCTCGGTGGCACCCTTCAGGCCAGGACTTTTGGGTCACTGGCTTCTCTCCACTCTGGTCCATTTTCTTTATAGCTGCTGGCTCCGAGTGGACAATTACTTCATCTGGAGCTTCATTGGGCCTGTCTCCTTTGTCATCGTGGTAAGTGGCCAGTGGTACCCCCGCTTTGGGCTCCTTCCCTCATCCACCAGCCCTGACCCTGCCCTGCCTGAAGCCCGAGAGGTGCTGGTTTGGGAAACACATCAAAACTGAGCAGCCAGCCAAGAGGACCAGGAAACTGGGTCTGCAGAGCCCCAGCACCAAGGCCCGATCACCCAGAGACTGGGATTGAGCCCCTGCCATGTGCACTTAATGCCTGGCCTGTCTGCTGGCTGCAGCATGGCTGGCACCCTGGAATGGGATCCAAAGGCAGGGGTGGCAACTGAGACCTAGCAGGGCAGGCCCTGACCCAGAGCCCTTGGAGGGGGAGGAATTCAGCCCACCCCCCTCACCTTCCCCAGGTGAACCTGGTGTTCCTCATGGTGACCCTGCACAAGATGATCCGAAGCTCCTCTGTGCTCAAGCCAGACTCCAGTCGCCTCGACAACATTAAGTGAGTCCACCCACATCCCTTTCCCCTGGGGCCCCAAGGCTGGGCCTGGCCTCTCCCTGGGCCTCCTTCCATGGGGTGCCTGTAATGCAGCATCACACTCATGGGTCTAAGTATCAGATGGGTCTTTTCCCGCACTCGTTATGCACCCACTTAGCGGTCTTAGGAAGCCTATCATTGGTACATCCAGCCTGTGGTTTTGAGGCCAAGTTCACACATAGAGCCACTCAAGGGCAACTAAAGAAAAACAGGCTACTGAATGGGGCATACATGTGGGAATAGGGTAAATGACTGCTAGAAGTGTCACCAAATAGGCTACCTACCTCCTACCTGGAGGATGCTCGACTCCAGGTTGGGGATGGGAGCCAGGTGCTGGGCTGTGCTGCCTCCTAGTGGGTCCCTGACCTGCCTGTCCGGCTCCCCCAGGTCCTGGGCCCTGGGGGCCATCGCGCTGCTCTTCCTACTGGGGCTCACCTGGGCTTTTGGACTCCTCTTCATCAACAAGGAGTCAGTGGTCATGGCCTATCTCTTCACCACCTTCAACGCCTTCCAGGGGGTCTTCATCTTCGTCTTTCACTGCGCCTTACAGAAGAAGGTGAGGCAGGCACCTCCACAGGATCTTACTGTCTCAGAACAGGGCAGGAGTGAGGGTGAAGGGGAACTGAATGCCCCTGAGCCCCGGTGCCTCCACAGCACTGGGAGAGAAGCCAGGCTCAGGGTCAGGGAAGGTTCAGCCTGACTTGGCGAGCATGAAGCACAGAGGGGCATGAAGGCAGAACAAGTCTGTAATAGGAGTGTCCTTGCCACAATGTAGGCACGAGGCGGGCCCATGGGTGGGAGACACCTGGGCACCAGCCTGATGGGGCATTTCCTCCGCCATGGAGCTGGAAGAACTGTAAATTCTGTGGTGATAGAAAGGTCCCTTTTAAAATAGATGTGTTACAGTCGAGATCTTGAAAAAACATGTACCGAAGAGACAGCAGCAGGGGAGTGAAGGAAGGAGTGCAGGCAGCAGGCTGGGGACCAAAGCTTTAGAAACTCAGCTGAGCCAGGTGTGGTGTGGCACGCACCCGCAGTCCCAGCACTTGTCTCACAAAACAAAAGGACAGAAACTGAGCTGAGGTGTGTGCACACCTTGTCCTTGTCCTGAAGGGACCAAGGACCCGGGCCAGGCTGCTGAGGGAAAGCCGAAGCAGGAGCACAGGAACCCTGGCTGCAGGGAAGCTGGCCACACAGGACCAGCGCTGTAGCTCAGGGGCAGGCCTTGCTTCTTACACACGTGGCACTTGGTGCTGGCTTTGGCACACACGGGCATGCACATAGACACACATGCTGTGGCTCACCCAGACATCAAAACTGACTCTTGCACAGCGGAGTCCCCACAAACATCCCTAGACCCACACAGTCCGACCTGGCCCCTTGCTTTGCCCATCTGCTCTCAGCACCAATGCAGGACTGTCCTCAGGGCTCAACCCCATGCTGCCCTGGGCATCACATCCTTCCTCAGGAAGACATGGGTGCTGCCTTTCTCTCAGGCCTTGGCCCAGATGTCTGCTGCTGAGCCTCCCCTGACCTGTCCTACATCCCAGCGCTCAGCCTGCCAGCACTGCCCCGTCCCTTCCTGGCTACAGCTTTCCCCATAGCATCAACACCCTGAGACATCCTGTGAGGCATATAGTCAGCCCTCTACACCTCTGACTTCCACATCTGCAGATGCAACCAACTGTGGATTGAAAACACTTCAGAAAAAGAAACTGTGCTAAACATGTCCAGAATGTTTTTGGTCATGACTGTCTACACAATCCGGTGTAACAACTATTTACATAGTGTCTGCATTGCAGTAGACACTGTAAGTAACCTACAGATGACTTAACACACAGTTCTGCAGTGCCACACTGTTCATATGGAAAGCTTGAGCATCTTCTGACTTTGGTATCTGGAGGAGTCCTGATGCCATCTCCCCAACCAATGGTGCTTTCCTTATCTGCACTCGAGCCGCTCAGATGTGAGTGCTGCAAGGTAGGGGTTGGTTTTTACTGTGTCAGGGACAGGTGACAGGGAGGGTTCTGAGCTGACAGGTGCTGAGGCAGAGAACAGCTTCTCAGGCTGGCCTGTGGGGGCCGTATTACAAAGAAGGCTGCTGCCAGCTGACTGTCCCCCTCCATCCTCCAGGTGCACAAGGAGTACAGCAAGTGCCTGCGTCACTCCTATTGCTGCATCCGCTCCCCGCCAGGGGGCACGCATGGCTCCCTTAAGACCTCAGCCATGCGAAGCAATACCCGCTACTACACGGGCACCCAGGTACTAGGGTCGGGTGAGGCTGTACCGTCCGGGAGAGTGGTCTCAGAATAATCAGAGGACAGGTGGCCCTAAGACCTTGGCGTGCCCCGATGTGTCCCCAGAGCCGAATCCGGAGAATGTGGAATGACACAGTGAGGAAACAGACAGAGTCCTCCTTCATGGCAGGGGACATCAATAGCACACCCACCCTGAACCGAGGTAAGAGGCATCCCTCTTCCACAGCAGCTCCTGACCCCACAGCTCTCAGCCCCTTGCCCCTGGGCTTCCTTGTGACCTCTGACCCTTGGGCAGGTGCCATGGGAAACCACCTCCTGACCAACCCCGTGCTGCAGCCCCGAGGGGGCACCAGCCCCTACAACACCCTCATCGCTGAGTCAGTGGGCTTCAACCCCTCCTCACCCCCTGTCTTCAACTCCCCAGGTGAGGGCATTCTGGGCACCAGCACACGGGCTGCCCCTGGGGCCTGGGTGTGGGGAGCCAGACTCTGTGCTGACTTTCTCCTTCTCTTTCCCTTCTGGCTGGCATTCAGGAAGCTACCGGGAGCCCAGTAAGTGTCTCTTTCCTGGTGGCTTTCCACATCCTGGAAGGAACACGATGGTGGCCTTCAGATGGCCTCTCTCAGGGACCAGAGCACAGGATACCCTCCACCACAGTGGACCCAAATAAGGGTCTGAGCTCACAAATGGGGGTAGGGGCTCAGGAGGTCTCACTGCCGAGATTGGTCCTAACTCCTCCCCCTGCTGTTGGGCAGCTGCCCCTAGAGCAGGCAAGGAGGGGGGTATGTGACCAGATCCCAGAGGATGAAGGGGAGCTCCCTTCCCCACAACGATACAGCTGCCCCTCACCCTCCTGACCAGCCCTTCTGCCCCGCAGAGCACCCCTTGGGAGGCCGGGAAGCCTGCGGCATGGACACCCTGCCCCTTAATGGCAACTTCAACAACAGCTATTCTTTGCGAAGTGGAGACTTCCCACCAGGGGACGGGGCCCCCGAGCCACCGAGAGGCCGTAACCTGGCCGATGCCGCAGCCTTCGAGAAGATGATCATCTCGGAGCTGGTGCACAACAACCTGAGAGGTGGCAGCAGCGGAGCCAAGGGCCCGCCGCCACCTGAGCCCCCCGTGCCACCTGTGCCAGGGGGTGGTGGTGAGGAAGAGGCCAGTGGGCCCGGGAGTGCTGACCGGGCGGAGATTGAACTTCTCTACAAGGCCCTGGAGGAGCCACTGCTGCTGCCCCGGGCCCAGTCGGTGCTGTATCAGAGTGACCTGGACGAGTCCGAGAGCTGCACGGCAGAGGATGGCGCCACCAGCCGGCCCCTCTCCTCCCCTCCAGGCCGGGACTCCCTCTATGCCAGTGGGGCCAACCTGCGGGACTCGCCCTCCTACCCGGACAGCAGCCCTGAGGGACCCAGTGAGGCCCTGCCCCCACCTCCACCTGCACCTCCAGGGCCCCCCGAAATCTACTACACCTCTCGCCCACCAGCCCTGGTGGCCCGGAACCCCCTGCAGGGTTACTACCAGGTGCGGCGGCCTAGCCATGAGGGCTACCTGGCGGCCCCAGGCCTTGAGGGGCCAGGGCCCGATGGAGACGGGCAGATGCAGCTGGTCACCAGTCTCTGAGGTACTTGAGGACCAGGGGCTGGCAGCCCGGGCCAGGGAGGAGACCCTGGGCAGGGCCCTGGTGAGAGAGGGAGACTGGTGGAGGTAGTGGCTGGTGGACCGCTCTCTCCAGTACCCCTTGGCCATGGGCCCTAGGGTCCCCTCTGGGGGCTCTGATATGGGGGCCCGAGGCGCCAGGGTTCACAGACAGGGTTTCCCACCAGCCACTCGCACCAGCTGTTTGGGAGAAGGCCAGCGAGGAGCCCAGAGGCCCCAGGGAGTTAGGAGGGAGAGCCCAGCAGGGTGCAGCCCGCTTCTTGACTCTCCCCCTCCCCCTATCCTGCCACCCCTGGAGGGAGCAGCAAGGGCTCTGGTCTCCCTGGGGGTGGGGCAGCTTCTGAGGTTGCCAAAGGCTTCCCTGGCTGTAGGAAGGTGGACAGGCTGCTCCCGCATGGCAGCTCCTGCTTCCTGGTGACCAGGTCCTGCAGCCTGAGAGGAAGCCCAGCTGTGGCCCAGGGGACGGGCGGTGGCCAGTGGTCTCAAGGTGGAACTTTCTGAAGCTCCTGCCCCCTTGCTGTTATCCCGCCTCCCCAGCAAGCCTGCCCCCCCAGAGTACACCCAATGACCCCTCCTGGGGTGACTCCTGACGAAGCACAACCCCCCCGCGCGGCCCAGCCTACGATGGCTCCCAGGTCTGTGGGCTTGACGCTCTGGGGAACAGATCTCGGGGTCTGGATCTCCCTGGGGAGTGGGTCCTGGGCTTGGATCTTTCCCTAGGGGGCCTTCTCACCCCTTCCTCTCTCCTCCTCCCCCATTGCTGTAAATATTTCAACGAAATGGAAAAGAAAAAAAAGACAAAAAAAAAAAAAAAAA